CATGGCAACCTCAAGCTCCCCAGCTCCAGCAATCCTCCAGTCTCAGCCTCTGGAGTAGCTGAGACTACAGGTGCACACCACTGGCCCGGCTAGTTTTTTTTTTTTTTTTTAAATCAATTTTTTTTGTTTTAGAGATGGGGTTTCACTATGTTGGCCAGGATGGTCTCGAACTTCTGACCTTGTGATCCTCCTGCCTTGGCCTCCCAAAGTGCTGGGATTATGGGCATGAGCCACTGGGCCCAATTTTTTTTTTTTTTTAATTTATAGTAGACAAGACCTCTCCCTAGTTTGCCCAGGCTGATCTCGGAGAACTCCTGGGCTCAAGTGATCCTTCCGCCTTGGCTTCCCAAAATGTTGGGCTTACAGGCATAAGCCACTGCATCCAGCTATTTAATTTTATTTTTTAATTGACACATAATAATTTTACATATTAATGGGGTACATAGTGGTATTTCAATATATACAATTTCTAGTGATCACCTCAGGATAATTAGCAGATCCATCTTCGCCAACATTTATCCATTTATCATTGCTTTTTGTTTTTTTGAGATGGAGTCTCACTCTGTCATCCAGGCTGGAGTGCAGTGGCATGATCTTGGCTCACAGCAACCTTTGCTTCCTGGATTCAAGCGCTTCTCGTTCCTCAGCCTCCTGTGTAGCTGGGACTCCAAGCGCGCTCCACCATGCCCAGCTAACTTTTTGTATCTTTAGTAGAGAAAAGGTTTCACCATAGTGGCCAGGCTGGTCTCAAACTCCTGACCTCAAGTTATTTGCCCTCCTCAGCCTCCCAAAGTGCTGAGATTACAGGCATGATCCACCGTGCCCGGCCTTCATTCACTACATCTTAAAAGTGCTGAAGGGAAGTGGGAGCTGCGACCCTTCAAAAGACACCATTCATAGCTAGAGCCCATGCTGCAGGCAGACAATTTACTGAAAAGCAATCTGCCCCAAACCAACCCACCAAAACTCAATTGGACAAATTCGCCCTAGAGCCCCAAGGCTGAAAATGACTGCTCTGTCTACACTCCAAGCCTGTCTCCCAGAAAGTATTTTTTCTTTCTTTCTTTATAACATAACAGTTCAGCATGTCATTAAAGATTTGTCCTAGTCACTCTATTACCCTGGCCCTCTTCTCCTCCTAGAACTTGTATTTCTATTCAGCAGAGTTGAGACATGGAATCAATGATTTACTTAAGCAGATGTGATGGCTGGGCGCTGTGGATCATGCCTGTTTTTTTTGAGATGGAGTTTTGCTCTCGTTGCCCAGGCTGGAGTGCAATGGCATGATCTCAGCTTACTGCAACCTCTACCTCCCGAGTTCAAGTAATTCTCCTGCCTCAGCCTCCCAAATAGCTGGGATTACAGGCGTGTGCCACCACATCCGGCTAATTTTTTGTATTTTTAGTAGAAATGGGGTTTCACTATGTTAGTCAGGCTGGTCTCGAACTCCTGACCTCAGGTGATCCTCTTGCTTCAGCCTCCCAAAGTGCTGGGATTACAGGCATGAGCCACCGTGCCAGGCTTCTTCTTTTTTTTCAGACACAGTCTTGCTCTGTCACTCAAGCTGGAGTGCAGTGGCATGATCTTGACTCACTACAACCTCCACCTCCCAGGTTCAAGCAATTCTCCTGCCTCAGCCTCCCAAGTAGCTGGGATTACAAGTGCCTGCCACCATGCCCAGCTAATTTTTTGTATTTTTAGTAGAGATGGGGTTTTACTATGTTGGCCAGGCTAGTCTCAAACTCCTGACCTCGTGATCCACTGGCCTCAGCCTCCCAAAGTACTGGGATTACAACTGTGAGCCACCGCACCCGGCCAATCTCAGCACTTTGGAAGGCTGAGGCAGGTGGATTGCTTGCGCTCAAGAAGTTCGAGACCTACTTGGCCAACATGGCAACACCCTGTCACTACAAAAAAAATTACAAAAATTAGCTGGTACGGTGGTGTATGCCTGAAGTCCCAGCTTCTTGCGGGGCTGAGACAGGAGGATCTCTTGAGCCTGGGAAGCAGAGGTTGCAGGGAGCCATGACTGCACTCCAGCCTGGGTGACAAAGTGAATCCCTGTCTCAAAAGAAAACATGTGTTGAACACTGCTCAGAAAACAAGGCCATGCCTCTTTTTATGACATTTTCTCTCTCAGACCCATGGAGCCTCTGCTCTCATCTCCCTAAACAAGGGGAAGAACGAAGTGCTGACTCAGCACAGGGCCTGTGTGTGCTATGGAGGAATTAAATATTAAGCAAACATTTATAAGATGAGTGGATGGATGGGGAGCTGCATAGACGATGGTTCTGTCTTGCTTATGAAGATGTCATCCTTCAAGGGTCATCATGAGCCAGGATTGGATTCCCTGCAGGCCCCAGCATTGGTTCTAAATGTAGAACATTTGGTCGTATCCATCCTTTCCCCAGGGACAGAATAGGAGTCTCCTCCTCCCAGAGGCCCCTCCAACGCCCACTCTTCTCTGAAAGCGATTCTCAGAAATGCCTCTCTATCTGCAAAGTGTGGCTTCGTAGGGATTTTTGGATCTTCTCAAAACCATTTGCCTATAAAGCTTGATCTCTGAGCCTGGAACAAAGGGCTTTGTTGTCAAGGGAAAGCCTTCCGCAGCCCTAGAGCCAGCCACATGGCGCCTCCTCCTACAGATGCTCTGCCTGACACCCTATTATCCTGGAGACACTGGGAGGACATTGGCAGAGAGGGATGAATAAAATGAAGCAATCCTTCTGAGGAACACAGCATACAATCCAGAAATCGCCCCCATGGCCTATGAAAAGCTGATGTCTGATAGAAACAGCATCCCAAGTCATGGGAAACAATGGGTGACTTTGGCCCGGCTCGGTGGCTCACGCCTATAATCCTAGCCCTTTGGGAGGCCAAGGCAGGCAGATAACTTGAGGTCAGGAGTTCGAGACCAGCCTGGGCAACATGGTGAAACCCCATCTCTACTAAAAATACAAAAATTAGCTGGATGTGGTGGTGCACACCTGTAATCCCAGCTACTTGGGAGGCTGAGGCAGGAGAATTGCTTGAACCTGGGAGGTGGAGGTCGCAGTGAGCTGAGATCGTGCCACAGCACTCCAGCCTGGGCGACAGAGCAAGCCTCTATCTCAAAAAAAAGAAAGGAAGGAAGGGAGGAAAGAAGGAAGGAAGGAAGGAAGGAAGGAAGGAAGGAAGGAAGGAAGGAAGGAAGGAAGGAAGGAAGGAAGGAGGGAGGGAAGGAAGGAAGGAAAAAGGGAGGGAGGGAGTGAGGGAAGGAGGGAAGAAGGTAGGGTGACTTCATAGCTGGTGTCAGGATAGCAGGAGAGCTTCATGGACTCAGAACCAACCAGAGGCATTCCTCATGCTGTGGACCACGGTGTGTTCCAAAGGAGTTGGAGATTGATTGATTGATTTCGAGGAAGTCTCACTCTGTTGCTCAGGCTGGAGCGCTGTGGCACAAACTCAGCTCACTTCAACCTCTACCTCCCTGGTTCAAGTGATTTTCCTGCCTCAGCCTTCCGAGTAGCTGGGATTACAGGTGTGCACCACCACACCCAGCTAATTTTTGTATTTTTAATAGAGATGGGGTTTCACCGTGTTGGCCAGGCTGGTCTCGAACTCCTGACCTCCAGTTATCTGCCTGCCTTGGCCTCCCAAAGTGTTGGGATTACAGGCGTGAGCCAGCGCACCCGGTGGGGCTGGAGATTTAAATGTAAAGATGAAACCATGCAAGTACTAACAGAAAATACGGACCAATTCTCCTATAATTTGGGAGTGGGAAAACTTCCCTAATTCTGACTCAACACCTAGAAGCAATAAGGGGAAAAGATGAACAAGTCTCAAGGAATTAATGTTTTTTTATGAAAAAAATTAGATGAAAATTTTAAACATAGCAAAATTAAAAAGACAAATGATAGACTGGTTTTAAAAAGAAAAAAACAACTGTACAACCTACATCACAGACAAAGGGCCAATATTCTTAATAAATGAATAATTTCTTTTTTTTTGGAGATGGGGATTTCACCATCTTGGTTTGGTTGGTCTCGAACTCCTGACGTCAGGTGATCCACCCACCTCAGCCTCCCAAAGTGCTGGAATTACAGGCCTGAGCCACCGCGCCCAGCTATGAAGAGCTTCTAATACAGATTAAAAGGCCAACAACCTGATAGAAAAATGCACTGAAAATACAAACAGTTTACAGAAAAAGAAAGGCAAATATTTCAAAACTATACAGAAAGACACTTGACCTTGCTTACAGTAAAAGAAACACAAATTGCCCCAAGGAACTATTTCTCATTGATCAGATTGGCCAAAATCCAAAAGCTTAATACTGTATACTCTCTTTTCCAGGCTGTGAGAAAACCAGCATTCTCACACATTCCTGGTGGGAATGCAAAATGGTATGGTCTCTACAGAAGAGGATTCGCCAATATCTAGCAAATCTAGGAGCACATTTGCCCTTCGATCCTACAATCCCCCATCTAGGAATCTATACTAAAGATATACGGCAAACGATTTGGAAAGGCACAGAGACATGGCTGTTTATTGCAGCTCTGTTTGTAAAAGCCAAAGCATGGGAAAAAGCCAAAAATCCATCAATAAGGACTTTGAGAAATAAACAATAGCACATCTACATAATGGGGTGCTTTGCAGCCACGAAAAGAACAAGGAAGATCTCTACAAACTAATACGATGTGATCCTAAGGACACCTTAGGGTCTGTTTCTCTAAGAACAAAAGATACAAATATAAACAAAAATATGTAAATAGTTTCTTACGATTAAATACTAAACACTGATCGTTTAACAGAAAGAAGGAATAGAGTAGGGGAGAACAGACACTAGGTTTATTTGAGACCGGGTCTTGCTCTGTCACCCATGCAGCAGCATGATAATAGCTCCCTGCAGCCTTGAAATCCTGGGCTTAAGCCGTCCTCCCACCTCAGCCTCCCACGTAGCTAGGACTACAGGCACGCACCACCACACTTGGCTTTTATTTATTTATTTTGAAATTTTTCAATCTCTGTAGAGACTGCCAAAAATTGCCAACGCTGACTATATTGCCAGTCATCATGGCGGGGTATTGGGAAAAGTTTTCAATTAGCAGTAATCCCGTCTCAAATAAACCTCATTGGCCGCTACACAAAGCCACACTTGGCTTAAAAAGAATTTTTTTTTAATTGTTGTACAGATGGGGTCTTGCTATGTTGCCCAGGCTGGTCTTGAAATCCTGAGCTCAAGTGATCCTCCCCACTTCGGCCTCCCAAAGTGCTGGGACTACAGGCGTGAGCCACCATTCCCAGCCTGGATCCTTTTCAATATATCTTACTTTATAGATTTGACTTTCACCATGCACATCTTTTACATAATTATAAAACGAAATTAAACTTTAAAAAGTAATTCTAAGAATTGAAAGCCAAATGAAGTAAATGCTCCTAACTGTGTAATGGGTTGGCAGCAAAACACAGAGCGGGAGGTGGGGACCAGGGGAGGGACAGCATCAGGAGAAATACCTAATGTAGATGACAGGTTGACGGGTGCAGGAAACCACCATGGCATGTGTATACCCATGTAACAAACCTGCACATCCAGCACATGTGTCCCAGAGCTTCAAGTATAATGATAATAATAATTTTAAAAAACGCAGAGAGGAGCTATTCCAAGGAACTTTAAAGTACATTCATTTGACTATGTGTTCTTGGTGGGATTTACTGTAAGAAGAAAACTGCAAGTTCAAAATACAAAGCTGTTTTCAATAACTGTTTGGTGGTAGTTTAGGGGTTAGTACTTTAAGACTGCTGTGTATGTGGTGGAGAAAAACATAAATAAATAATTCTGTAATTACACTTGAGAGGAGATATTTGGGGCATTAGAAGAAAGGCAATTCAGATGTAAAATCTTTTTTTATTTTTTGAGATGAAGTCTCGCTCTGTCGCCCAGGCTGGAGTGCAATGGCAAGGTCTTGGCTCACTGCAACGTCCACCTCCTGGATTCAAGCAATTCTCCTGCCTCAGCCTCCGGAGTAGCTGGGATTACAGGCACATGCTACCACGCCCAGCTAATTTTTGTATTTTTAGTAGAGATAACCAACCATGTTGGCCAGGCTGGTCTCAAACTCCTGACCTCGTGATCCACCCACCTTAGCCTCCCAAAGTGCTGGGATTACAGGCATGAGCCACAGCGCCCAGCCCGATGTAAGTAAAATCTTTAAGATGAAGCGAAACACCTAGAATTCTGAATTTGAATTGAAAGTCTCAGATCAGAATAAACTCAATTTTTTCTTAAAACAAATTTTAACGGGTCCTGTGTCTATCCTCTGAAAAGGTCTAGCATTATTGAGCACCAAAACAATTAGTGCTTCTAGTACCTGGATGGTGACCTGTAAATACTAGTAAGTTTAGTGCAAAAGTAATTGCGATTTGCCAAGGCAAGTAAATTACCTGGGCAAATCGCAATTACTTTTGCACTAACCTAATATTGTCCTGTTTGCTTGGTAAATTTTCCTCCCTTGCTTTTTTCTGCTTTGTTTGCTTGGTAAATTTTTCTCCCTTGCCTTTTTCTGCTTTCTGTTTGCTTGGTGAATTTTTCTCCCTTGCCTTTTTCTGCTTTCTGTTTGCTTGGTAAATTTTCCTCCATCCCTTTATTTTGTACCTGCGTGTGCCTTTGCGTGTCAGACTGGTCTCTTGAATACAGCATACAAGTCTTGACTCTATCCAGCTTGCCATTCTGTGTCTTCTAATTGGGGCATTTGGCCCATTTACCTTTAAGATTACTATTGTTATGTGTGAATTTAATCCTGTCATCATGCTGCTTGCTCGTTACCTTGAAGACTTGTTGACATAGTTGCTTCACAGGTCTTGATTCTTCAGTGTGTCTTTGTAGTGGCTGGTAATGGTTTTTCCTTCATATTAGTGCTTCCTTCAGGAGCTCTTGCAAAGCAGGACTGGTAGTGATGAATCACCTCTGCATTTGCTTGTCTGAAAATGATGTTATATCTCTTTCACTTATGAAGCTTAGTTTGGCAGGATATGGAATTCTGGGCTGGAAATTATTTTCTTTAAAAATGTTGAGATGGGTGCAGTGGCTCATGCCTATAATCTGAGCACTTTGGGAGGCTGAGGTGGGCAGATTACCTGAGGCTAGGAGTTCGAGACCAGCCTGACCAATATGGAGAAACCCTGTCTTTACTAAAAATACAAAATTAGCTGGGAGTGGTGACACATGCCTGTAATCTCAGCTACTCAGGAGGCTGAGGCAAGAGAATCACTTGAACCCAGGAGGTGGAGGTTGTGGTGAGCTGAGATCGTGCCATTGCACTCCAGCCTGGGCAAGAAGAGTGAAATGACGTCTCAAAAAAAAAAAAGTTGAATATTAGCCCGCAATCTCTTCTGGCTTGTAGGATTTCTGCTGAAAGGTCCACTGTTAGCCTGATGGGCTTCCCTTTGAGGTGACCTGGCCTTTCTCTCTGGCTGCCCTTAACATTTTTCCTTCATTTTTGACCTTGGAGAATCTGATGATTATGTGTCTTAGTGTCGATCTTCTTGTGGAGTATCTAACTGGGGTTCTCTGGATTTCCTGAATTTGAATGTTGACCTGTCTTGCTAGGTTGGGGAAGTTCTCCTGGATGATATCCTGAAGTATGTTTTCCAACTTGGTTCCATTCTCCTGTCTCTTTCGGATACCCCAATCAGTTGTAGGTTCAGTCTTTTTACATAATCCCATAATTCTCAGAGATTTCGTTTGTTCCTTTTCATTCTTTTTTCTCTAATCTTTTTTGTTTTATTATTTATTTGTTTGTTTGTTGAGATGGATCTCGCTCTGTCTACCAGGCTGGAGTGCAATGGCACAATCTCAGTTCACTGCAACCTCCACCTCCTGGGTTCAAGCAATTCTTCTGCCTCAGCCTCTGAGTAGCTGGGGTTATAGTTTACCATGTTAGTCAGGCTGGTCTCAAACTCCTGACCTCAGGTGATCCACCCACCTTGGCCTCCCAAAGTGCTGGAATTACAGGTGTGAGCCACCACACCTGGCCTTCTGTCATATTTTAGCAAGACAGTCTTCAAGCTCGGAAATTCTTTCCTCTGCTTGGTATATTCAGCTATTGATACTTATGGTTGCATTTTGAAGTTCTCGTAGTGTGTTTTTCAGCTCCATCTGGTCATTTACGTTCCTCTTTAAACTGGTTATTCTGGTTAACAGCTCCTGTAATGTTTTTATCATGGTTCTTAGCTTCTTTGCATTGGGTAATAATGCAAAGAATTGTTACTTTTTTGTTATCGGGTAATGACAAGCTCAGGGAAGTTTGCTACTACCTGCCTTCTGAAGCCTAACTCTGTCAGTTCATCCATCTCAATCTACCTTCTGAAGCTTAACTCTGTCAGCTCGTCCATCTCAACCTCAGCCCAGCTCTGAGCCCTTGCCGGAGAGGCGCTGGTGATCATTCGGAGAAGAAGAGGTACTTGGGCTCTTTGAGTTTTCAGCATTTTTTTCATTGATTTTTTTTCTCACCTTCATGAGTTTAGCTTTGATCTTCAAGGCTGCTGACCTTTGGATGGGGTTTGCTTGGGGACTTTTTGTTGAAGCTGTTTTTGTTGTTGCTTTCTGTTTGTTTTTAACAGTCAGGCCAACAAGCCTAGGAAAAGATGTTCACCATCACTAACCATCAGGGAACTGCAAATCAAAACCACAATGAGGTATTATCTGATGCTCATTGGAATAGCTACTATTAAAAAAACGTCGGCTGGGCGCGGTGGCTCATGCCTGTGATCCCGGAACTTTGGCAGGGAGAGGTGGGTGAATAACAAGGTCAGGAGTTCGAGATCAACCTGGCCAACAGGATTGCTTGAGCCCAGTATTTCAAGATCAGCCTGGGCAATATGGAAACACCTCTTCTTTACTAAAAATCAGAGAAGTTAGCCAGGTGTGGTGGCTCACACCTCTAGTCCCAGCTACTCAGGGGGCTGAAGTGGGAGGATTGCATTAACCCAGGAGGCTGAGCTTGCAGTGAGCCATGTATGTGCCACTGCACTCCAGCCTGAGTGACAGAGCTAAACCCTGTCTCAAAAAAGGAAAAAAACAAAACAGAAGGGAGTCACCATGCTGGGGCTAACAGGCAGCTACAGTCCTGCCCTGTCACTCTTGCATCCCAGGCTTCTGCCTGGATCACTGCTGAATAGACTTGGTTTGGGTATTTTACCTTCCTTAGCAAGGAAAAGGCCCTTCCATTGTTGGGCTCTTCCATGGCTCTCTCAGGCTCTCAGGCTGAATCCCACTGTGCACCTTCCACACGTCTCTGCTGAGCCTATCTTTCTGGGCTACTGTGAACACAAGCTCTGGCTCAGCCATCTCCATTTCTCCAAGCTTGGCTGCGAGCTTGGCTGACAGTGGGCAGCCAACCAGTGTCAAATGGATCCCACAGAAACCGGGTTTACCGGCCAGGCGCGGTGGCTCATGACTCTCATCCCAGCATTTTGGGAGGCCGAGGCAGGCGGATCACGAGGTCAGGAGTTGGAGACCAGCCTGGCCAATATCGTAAAACCCCATCTCTACTAAAAATACAAAAATCAGCCGGGTGTAGTGGTGCACACCTGCAATCCCAGCTACTCAGGAGGCTAAGGCAGAAGAATCACTTGAACCCAGGAGGCAGAGGTTGCAGTGAGCCGAGATTGCGCCACTGTACTCAAGCCTGGTTGACAGAACAAGACTCCATCTCAAAAAAAAAAAAAAAAAAAAAGAAAGAAAGAAATTGTGTTTACTTGGCTCTATGGCAAGACTCAGTTAAGCCCCTCCAGTCTCTCCAGCTGGAATGCCCCTTCAGCAAAGAACATGGGAGAAAAATAGAGGCGACATTATCTCCAATTGATGAGTGACTACACAGAGGCCCAGAGAAGCTGGCAGCTTGCCCAAGATCACCCAGCTAGGTTAATGGCAGAGCTGGGACCAGTTTCCACAGTCCTGGCTCCAGGTCTGGTATTCCCTCGGGGACACACACCCAAACCACCATCGCTGGCCTCAGACAGGCAAGTTTCTCTATTAGGCATGACAGGCCCAGGCCTAGTGCCTATGAGCTTTACAAGGCCCAAGAAAATGTACTGGCTCCTAAATTTAAACAGAAAACAGCAAAATTAATAAAACTAAGTGTTTATGTAACTGTAAAGCTG